ACGATTTTTGAGCTGCCCATGGTACTGCAAATTTGAAATGGCAGGGACAACTTCACCCCTCCAGTTTGTCTTCACCCATCTTGTTCTCAGCCAAACCAGCCAGCAAAGTGATTTCCAAGCTGGGTGGCACCACCAAGGAGCCAGCAGGAGCTCCACAGAACCTACAAAGCCACAACATGCCACCTGACATGCAGCTCATGGGAGCTCAGGAGAGCTGGTATCCATACTTGCCTGTGGAAGTGGCCATTTCTTTGTTGTATTAGATGTCATTTCTGCCACTGTTACTGCAATATTGATGCTGCTTCTGGAATAGTATTGGACACCAAGTGCTTAGTCTAGTATAAAATCTAAGATCATATAGTAATTTAAAGATGGACTATAGCTTAGGGTGTGTGTGTGTGTGTGTAGTCACATGCTCTCAGCCTCAGGTAATGGCAATGGCAATGGCAAACCTCCTCTGAAAAAAATCTTGCCAAGAAAACCTCATGACCAAAAGTCAGAAATGATTTGAAGGCACACAACAATACGTATATAGCAGCTGATATTCACTGTCTCAGTTTGAACACACAGAAGATAACAGTATGATATAAAATAATTTTGGCAAGAGTAAGGGCAATAATGCCAAGATACAAAATGAAAGGTGAGGCTGAAAATCTTAAATGTCTTCTGAATGACTTGTGCAGCAAAAGACAACTTAGTTTGGGGTTTAATTACATATTTTGCATAGATTTGCCACAAATAATAATGTTTAAGAATAATCTGACATTTTGAAATTATTCATAATTTTAGAATACAGTCAGTTTCTTGGAAAAAGAGTTTTTATTTCTCATGATTTCCGGTGAGGGGAGAGGCTGGCATTTGCAAAAGAGACTGAAATTATCCCTATATATTAGCCACATGATATTGATATGCATAATGTTCATAATGAACTGATTTTCTGAATGCTGACTTTCTTCTAAACAAATAAACTTAAGATCAGAGTTTTGCTTTTTGTCCTGCAACTCAGTATACACCAAAGGAAAGGACTTAAGAATACTAGTGCCCAAAGAATAGTTCCAGAATCTGCCAGTAAGCTTGTTGGCTTTCTTGCAGCAACATGTGCTTAGGTTACACAAAGACACTATGGAGGCATCAAATGATATCACAAAACGAAATGCAATACAAGCATACCTTGGTTAACAAAGCCTTGGACAAAGATGCTCCTTAATCTTTTTATGACAACCCAGTCCAGCCCTAACTTTTCCATCTACTGACCAGAAGCGTTGGCATTGGGAGGATGGTGAAGGATGGCTGGAGAAAGACAGACTTTCAATGTTGGATTGCAACAGCATGTCTGCTGTAAAAAAATGCAATAAAGCTTGAACTGGGCAAGAGCAGGATTCTACTTTAGATGATCCTACTGTAGCTTTAAATTGATACAATTGGCAAAGGAGTCAGACAAGGCTGCATCCTATCACCCTACCTATTCAACTTATATGCAGAACATATTATAAGGAAAGCAGGCTTGGACATGGAAGAGGGAGGAGTGAAAATAGGAAGAAATATCAACAATCTGAGATGTGCTGACGACGCCATAATACTAGCAGAAAACCTCACAGACCTCACAGAACTACTACTAAGGAAGAAGAAAGTGCAAAGGCAGGCTTACTGTTGAACATAAAGAAAACAAAAATAATGACCACAGAGAACCTACACACATTCAGACTAGACAATGAGAAAATAGAAATAGTAAAAGAGTTCTCATATCTGGGATCAAACATTAATTGGAACGGGGACTGCAGCCAGGAAATCAGAAGAAGATTAAGAATGGAGAGGGTGGCTATGAAAGAACTAGAAAAGATCCTACAATGCAAAGACATACATTTCAACACAAAAGTCAGAATCATACAAGCCATTGTATTCCCTATTATCATGTATGGATGTGAGAGCTGGACAGTCAAGAAAGAAGACAGGAGGAAAATCAACGCATTTGAGATGTGGTGCAGGAGTGCTGAGGACTCCATGAACAGCCAAAAGGACAAACAAGTGGGTCCTAGAGCAGATCAAG